GAGGGAGGGAGGGAGGGAGGGAGGAGGGGAGAAGGAAGGAAGGGAGGGAGGGAGGTTGATTGGAAAGGAAGGAAGGAGGAAGCTAGGTAGGAAGGTTGATCTGGAAGGAAAGGAAGGAAAGGAAGGAAGGAAAGAAGGAAGGAAGGGGGAGGGAGGAGGGGAGAAGGAAGGAAGGGAGGGAGGGAGGAAGGTTGATTTGAAAGGAAGGAGGAAGCTAGGTAGGAAGGTTGATCTGGAAGGAAAAAAGGAAGGAAAAAGGAAGGAAGGAAGGAAGGCAGGAAGGAAGGAATGAAAGGGAGAGTGAGGGAGGAGGGAAGAAGGAAGGAAGGTGGGATTGCACCATTCTAGGACTGGGGTCTCCTTCCCTCTGATTGCCAATCAGGATGGAGTGGAGCTGTTTGGTCATCCAGTCTTCCTTAACCTGGACAACTTTGAGGGGGCTGGATTGCCATTCCCAGAATTCTGGGAGTGAAATCCATGCGTTTTTAAAGTGGCAGGGACCAAGAACCCCTGTTGCAACCTCCCTCCCCCCCCCTTAGCGGCTTTCTAAGAGCAAGATGACCAGCCTGGAAGAACTGCGGCACCATTCCTCCGTCCTGCTGGAGAAGAATAAGGACCTGATGGAGAAGATCCAGGAGACGGAAGCCGATTCGGCCAGCCAAGCCAGAACCCTCCTGCAGCAATACGACATGTTTGGGGTACGTAAGGCCGTGGGGGGGGGGGAGGTTGGAATAGCAGAGCCGGGCTTTGGGGCACGGAGAGCCCACCTGCAGTTGGGCCCTTCACCGCAGAGAGCAAGGCAGAGGGCAACCTCCCCTTAGGTGGGCTTGGTGCCCACCTGAACGGTTGGTTGGTCTGTTTGTTCAGAAAAGGCAGCCATTTGTCTGAAAAGACATAGCAGGAGTCTTCCAACGTGGCCCTTTTATGACTTATGGACTTCAACTCCCAGAATTCCCCAGCCAGTTTTGCTTTGCTGGCTGGGGAATTCTGGGAGTTGAAGTCCACCCCTCTTGAAGTGGACAAGGCTGAGCAACGCTGCATATGGCTAAACCAGGGGTCTTCCAACTTGGCTCTTTTATGACTGGTGGACTTCAACTCCCAGAATTCCTGAGCCAGCCATGCTGAGGGGAAAGGGAGAGGTTTCCAAGCTGAGCCAGGCTGGCTCAGGAATTCTGGGAGTTGAAGTCCACCAGTCATGAAGGGGCCATAGTTCCCCCATGCTGGCTCAGGAATTCTGGGAGTTGAAGTCCATAAATCATGAAGAGGCCCTAGTTCCCCCATTCTGCCTCAGGAATTCTGGGAGTTGAAGTCCACCAGTCATGAGGGGGCCATAGTTCCCCCATGCTGGCTCAGGAATTCTGGGAGTTGAAGTCCACAAGTCATGAGGGGGCCATAGTTCCCTCATGCTGGCTCAGGAATTCTGGGAGTTGAAGTCCACCAGTCATAAAAGGGCCAAGGTTGCCGACCCCTGGCCTACACCGTTCCAGACAGGTGGCTGTCCAGTCTCTTGAAAACCTCCAGGGATGCAGCGCCCGCAGCTTTCGGAGGCAACTTGTCTTCCCCTTGGTTAATTGCACCCCGTTGCTTCCATCCCACAGCGGATCATCGCCACTCTCCAGGACTCCAATCAGAACCAAGTTGGCGTAGCCAAAGCCGAGCTCAAAGCCGTGGAGAAGAACGTGGAGAAGAACATGACGAGTGAGCAGGGCCCGCCTGCCCTCCTCACCGGGTGGGGGGGAGTGGGAGGTGGGGAGGGGGTGGGCAGAGGAGGTCCCCGAGGAAAGATTAGTGCATTATGACAATGTTGCTTATCAAGCATCTTAAAAAAGGGGGCCAAGATGTACAGGTAGTCCTCGACTTAAAATTGTCCTCATTTAGTGACTGTTCGAAGTCACAGCTGCATTAAAAAAGAAAGGAATTATGACTGGTCCTTGCAATTATCTATCTGTCTGTCTGTCTATCTATTTATTTATCTATCTATATCTATCTATCATCTATCATCTAATCTGTCTGTCTGTCTGTCTGTCTGTCTGTCTGTCTGTCTGTCTGTCTGTCTATCTATCTATCTATCTATCTATCTATCTATCTATCATGTATCTATATGTCTGCCTGTCTGTCTGTCTGTCTGTCTGTCTATCTATCTATCTATCTATCTATCTATCTATCTATCTATCTATCTATCTATCTATCTATCTATCTATCTATCTATCTATCTATCTATCTATCTATCTATCATATATCTGTCTGTCTGTCTATCATCTATCATCTGTCTATCTGTCTGTCTGTCTGTCTATCTATTTATTTATATATCTATATCTATCTATCTATCATCTATCATCTGTCTATCTGTCTATCTATCTACCTACCTACCTACCTACCTATCTATCTATCATCTATCATCTATCATCTATCCTATCATCTATCTATCTATCTATCTATCTATCTATCTATCTATCTATCTATCTATCTATCTATCTATCTATCTATCTATCTCTCATATATATATATATGTATGCATGTGTGTATCTATATATATGTATATATGTGAATATATGTATGTGTGTGTATGTGTGTGTGTGTAGATAGATAGATAGATAGATAGATAGATAGATAGATAGATAGATAGGTATATATGTATGTGTGTATATAGATATGTATGTGTATAGGTATATATATGCATATATATGTATATGTGCATGTGTGTGTGTGTACATACTATACATATATGTACGTGTGCTTACATGTGTGCGTAGGGTTTTATATATGTATATTTCCTTCTGATAGCTGCCATCAGAACCTCCTTCCTCCAGGGCTGCCGGGGTGTTCGCAGAAAACAGCTTCTCTTTCTCTCCTCTCCAGAGATGGACCTGGAGCTGAAACGGGTCGGCACCAAGGTCCACACCCTGCAGGAGGAGGTCAACCTCCTGCGGACGTACATGGACAAGGAGTATCCCCTGAAGGCCGTCCAGATCTCCTCCCTCCTGCGCAACATCCGGAACCTGAATGAGGAGCAACAGGTGGGCTGAGGGGGGGGGCCTGCAGTCCTTGGACCCTTCTTTAAAGACACACCCCCCCCATTCTCTTTCTGCTCTTCTGCCCCCCTGCAGTACGAATTGGAAGACACCGAAGATCTGGCCAAGCGGTTCCTGGACTCCTTAGCGGGAAAAGCCCGGGACGAGCAGGAGCGCATTCTGCAGTCTGTGGCCGATGTGAGTGGGATCCCCAAAAGAGGAACTGGAATTTCTTGAGGGTTTTTTTTCCCAATCAATCAATCAATCAGAATACAACTGGAAGGGAGCTTGGAGGTCATCTAGTCCAACCCCCTGCTCAAGCAGGAGAGCTGATGCCAGTTCAATCAATCAATCAATCAGAATAGAGTTGGAAGGGAGCTTAGAGGTCATCTAGTCCAACCCCCTGCTCAAGCAGGAGAGCTTATGCCATTTCAATCAATCAATCAATCAATCAATCAGAATACAGCTGGAAGGGAGCTTGGAGGTCATCTAGTCCAACCCCCTGCTCAAGCAGGAGAGCTTATGCCATTTCAATCAATCAATCAATCAATCAATCGGCCAAGCAATGTCGGCTGGCGACCCCCAGGGGGAGGGCCTTCTCTGTGGGTGCCCCCACCCTCTGGAACGAACTACCCCCCGAGATCCGGACGATTCCGGATCTCTTAACCTTCCGCCGCGCCCTCAAGACATGGCTTTTTCAACAAGCGGGCCTGACCTAGGGTGAGTTTTAAATAGGGATAATTTTTAATGAT